ATATTTTCATTTGTACTTTCTGAAATTTAGTTTTACAGTTTTTTTGTATTTGAAACATTTAAACCTTTTTAATTTATTTATCTTGTGCCCACAATTGTATTGTATTTATTGAATTTTCTATTTTTGTTATTTATGTTAAACAATATATATTTTTGCGTTGATAAGCCTGAGTGGTCTGTTGTCTGACCTTTGTATTTGTTCAAATAATCATTATGGGCAGGTTACAATATAAAAAATTGTTTGTCATAATCACGTCTTGTGATTATTTGTTTGAGTATTGAGTTTTACTTTTAAAATATAAGTGTATTTAATTTAGTTATAATGTAAATATAATAAAAATTAAACCAAGATTTATAATAATTATCATTTTGATCCTTACAATGGTAATGTCTGACTGGGCCTCGTGTCACTTCATGTTCAATAAATTGGGCCCCGAGGTCAAAAAGGTTAAGAACCCCTGGTCTAATATTTATGTCGTGGACTCATCCACCTCAGATAACCAATAATCACAAACAGTTACTGATTTAACCTGAACAAGCTGAAGGAATTTATTAGTCAGTTAGACACTAATTTAAAAGCACCACAGCATTAGTTTTCCTTTTTCAGGCTTGACTTTTATAATCTATTGTTATGTCTTGATTAAAATAGGTTTAGTTACATGCCCGAAACACCTTGACAACAACACATAATTAACCATTAATAAAAATATTAGATGAGCATTCCTGTTCAGGGTGTCTGCGATTCAGCCGTAGGCCTGCAGTGGGCGTACCAGGCACTGAAGATCCCTGTATATATAGACCGGAACGTCCGGTTTTGGACAGGGCTGCTCTGCTTGCTTCAGCCATTAGCAATAAAGCTTCGCTCAGAACCAGATCTGAGGGTCTAATCTCTTCACATTTTTATCAATTCAATATTTATGTGGTTTTGTCAGGATTTCAATTAACGAACACGAAATATTCGTACAAATCTTTAACTGTCAATGCTTTTAAACATGAAAATCCCAGAATAGCACACATCAGGTTTGTTAAAGCTTGTGATGTTCTAAAGTGTGTTCTAGAAGTGATGCATCGATCAACACGCAAACTAATTCGAATTGATGACTTGACCTCCATCTGGTTTTCAGACACCATGTTATTGGATCAGGATCGGTTTTGGACCTTCAGTGTTTGCCGTGTCTCAGATGTGTGCAGTGTGACTGTCAGTTCTTACTCTGCAGAGCTGTTTTTGTGGTTGTACACAGGAGAGATGCAGGGTGGGAGGAGCAGACAGTCTTTGTCCACACGCAGCTTCTTGTTACACTTGACTGATGATTCTCCGTGGTCCGACTGGGAACACAGAGCACAGATCAGGTAAGAATGAGCCGTAGAATATTTGGGGACAGATACAAAGACAGTTTCAGGATGAAAAGCCCACCTTGTGTTTCCTCTTGTTCTTGTTGTTGTGTTTTTCTGTTGGAACCATCATGCTTACGGCTGCCTGTCTTCTGTGTTTGCCTCCAGTGTCCACTCTCTCCGCCCTCCCACCCAGACCGGGGTTGCTCTGATCTTGCACAGGGGTGTAGTCCGGCGCTCCCAGACCTTGGCCGGTTCTCTCTCTGTCTCTTGCCCTCTCTCTCTCCCCAAAAGCGAATCTGTCCCTGTCCTCTCTGTCCGTCTGCCTCTCCCTGTCCGTTAATCTGTCTCTGTCACCTTGCCTTTCTCTGTCCTTCACTAATTGCTCATTATCTTCCTCCTGTCTCTCCCCTTTTGTAGGTTTCTGCCTCTCCAATCTGTTCTCGTCCCCGGCTCTCTCCCCGGCACCCTGTCCAGGTACCCTGCTGAGGAAGCTCAGATCAATTTTCACCCACAGACTCTGGACCTCGTGGTAGTCTCTCAGGGGGGAGACAGGGACCTCGTGGCCCACGTTGGCAGGAGGCGACATAGACTCTACATTTTTGCTCTGACCTCCTGACCCCCCAGGATCAGGAACAGAGTTTCCAAACGAAGCGCTAACGTTGCTAATGCTCAGGGAGTTACTGTTCCTGCTGCCGCTGTTACCAGTCGTCCCATCTTTCACTAGAAGTCCTGTTCCTGCAAACGTCCCCACACTTCCCACAGAGCCAAGGCATGGGACGAGAGGTGTGTGTGTGCTGGACAAAGTCTGCGTGTCGACGGCGGCGCGTGTCATCTGTGGTGGAAGAGAGGGAATTTTCACAGCCTCCTCAGCGTCCGACTGGCATTCTGACGAGGAAGACGAGGAATCTGTTTCAATGAATTCTCTGGACTTTGGTGTGATTCTAGTGCTGGGGCCTCTGTGTTTCCTCTTGTCCTGATTCAGAAAACACAAACAAAGACAGAAGAGAATTTTAAATAGCTTTAGTCATCAACATGCGTTTTGGCTCTTGTTCCATTTTCCTAAAGAGACACATTATGAAAAATTCTAACTTTGTAAAAAGAGTTGCACATAAGTGAGGCGCAGGCGCTCATGTGCAATCAAAAACAAAGCGTCCTAGATGGAATGTCACAAGGCTCACTTGCGTACCTAAGATTGAACTGGAAACTGTGAAAACAACAGCTAGCAAGGCTCTAGAGTTCGACCAATTTGGCGCAAATACGACCTGAGTTCTTAATAAAAAAAATTCCAGTTGCAATGGTGCAATCAGTTGTTCAAGGAGGACGGTTGGACCCTGCTGTATCAGGACTGTAAATGGACACTACTTTGAACAAATCAAAATAGAGAATTGCATTTCCTGTGAAAATGCTAGTGTGAATGCCTATTGCTGAAAACTTTAGCTGAAAGCTGCAAAAATTGAGCTAAAAATGTTTAATAGCAAAAGTATTGTTGTAAGTTAAACCTGCAAACCTGAAAGAAGCAAAAGAAAAAAAAGAAGCAGAAAATCAGTAAAAAGGAGCAAAAATATAACTGAATTAGCATAAAAAAGCTAAAAGCTCAAATAGCTGAACAAAGAAAAAGCAACTGTGAGAAGCATTAATAACTCAAAATAGCAGAAAGAAGCACAAAAAGTAAAAAATTAACAGAAGAACTAAACATGGGTTTTTACGATGTAAAAACAAGTGTGCATTGCCATGTAGCATGTCATTGCAGCATGGCTTTGCCTGCAGCAGTGGAGTTGCAGAATGAACTGTGCCCAAATTTAAATGTGTTTTCTATACCAGCCTGTCAAGTCAGCAGGTGTTTGTAATGAGGATAATTGTGTGACAATATGAACTTTGGAGAAATGATTTTGTTAAAATTGCAGTAGCTGGGATTGAGCCATGATCTCCCACATGAACGCCCATAGTGTTAACCATGAGACTATAGGAGCTGTGGCCGTAGGTACTCCTAGGGGTAGGTATGTATGTGTGCAGAAAGATCCCCCAGATGGCCCCCAGATGGCCATCAGAGCCACCTCAAAGTGGGTGGGAACTGTTTACCGGAAAAACGCTCATAACGGTCCTTAAACGTCGAGTGAGATGACGAATGGTGATGCGCAGAAGAGCGGAGAGTTTCCGAAGGCTGTACTTGGCCATACAACAGCAACAGAAAGCGGCTATAGCGACACGCAGATGGCATCGACGAGTAAGCTAGCAATATTAGCTTGTTACATGCTTATGACAGCAGTTGCTTTTTCATAGATCTATATAATTTTTAATGACTTGCCAGACTCGTTTTGACTCATCAGAGCAAAACAAATAAGTCGTCAAACCGGGCCGGCCCGATTGGAACCTCGGGCTGGATCCGGCCCTACTATGCTTATGCACAACCGCCGAACCCGGGTTAGAAGACGGGCCGGGCCGGGGCCGGTCCTGCAGTGCGTAAAAGCCTATAAATAGCTACAAATTTCATTCTTCACAATTTTATAGAAACAAGGTATTTGATGCTCTAAGATTTCTTATATTTAGAACCATACTGTGACACAAACTGCTCTGTGATAAATGTAATACAATAATTTATCAAATATGAAGAATAAATAATTTTAAATTATTACATGAGCTGAAACCATCTAAATAATATAATCTTTATGAATGAAATAGTCTTTTAAAAAAGAAACCAGTCAGTAACAAATAAAAAATTGTAGTTTCAAGTTATTTTGTGCTGTGTAAAAGAGCTGCTTGGATTTTGATGCTAGGGAAAGTGTAGAAAGTTGGTTTAACCAAGACCAAAGATCCAGAAGGCCAAACTACAGATGTTGGCCATAGGGGCCATGTGTAGTTTAAAAGACATTTAACCATGAAATGTTCAGTTTGAGATGTTTATATGAAATACACCCATTGGTCAGCCCCTCCGTCACTTAGGTAGTTTACTAAATTTATGCAGAGTCAAAAAAAAAAATTAACTCAAAACTTGGTGGACTGAAGATTGGCATGACGTCCTGACATGTTGCCAGCTGATAGAAGGCATCATAAAACAGAACAGGGCGACGTTTAGATGCCCAGACGCCCTTCTAGATGAATGCATTAAATGAGTTAAAGAAAATATACAGCATTTAGAAATATGAGGACCAAGCAACAATACTAGGTTCTCCCCTGAAAACATGACCAAAAATGGTTTATGCATCCCTGTTTATAAACTGATCTACATCTAACCCTGTACAGACTACATCTAACCCTGTACAAAGACTACATCTAACCATGTATAAAGTCTACATCTAACCAAGTATAAAGACTACATCTAACCCTGTACAAAGACTACATCTAACCCTGTACAAAGACTACATCTAACCCTGTACAAAGACTACATATAACCCTGTACAAAGACTACATCTAACCATGTATAAAGACTACATCTAACCATGTACAAAGACTACATCTAACCCTGTACAAAGACTACATATAACCCTGTACAAAGACTACATCTAACCATGTACAAAGACTACATCTTAC